GGAACACGTTAGTCGAGCGGCGAGTTTTGCTTTAGTAGGAGCGATGGGTCACGGTGGCAACAACGTCATTCCCAATGTGCACTTCCGAAAGGTCAATGGCTGCCAAAGTGGCCGCAAGAACCGCGTGTTTATGCGGACCTGGTTGAACCAGGCAGGCCGAAAGAAGCGCAGAGCCAACACACGGAAAGAAAAGGCAGCAAAGGTCTTCCCACGCCCTTCCGCTGGGCTGCTGCGTCCGTTGGTGCACCCGCCAACCCAGCGCTACAACATGAAGCTTCGATTGGGCAAAGGCTTCACTTTGGACGAGCTGAAGGAAGCCAAAATCCCTCGAAAATTTGCAAAGACCATTGGGATTGCAGTGGACCATCGCCGCAGAAACCGATGCACGGAGAGCTTGCAGACAAATGTCGAGCGGCTAAAGCTTTACATGTCTAAGCTCATGCTATTCCCAAAGAGATCCGGCACAAAGGGTGTGCGGAAGGGCGACACTCCTCGATCGGAGTTGCAGAACGTTGCCCAGAACACGCTGAAGGACATCATTCCAGTGCCAAAGGTGGAGAAGCGTATCAAGGCGAGGGCAATCACAGAGGAGGAGAAGACCGAGTCCGTCTACAAAAAGCTGAAGAAGGCCCGAACTGCTGCACACTACCAGGGAGACAGGATCAAGAAGGCCAAAGAGGCTGCTGCTAAGGAGAGCTGAGATCGTGCAAGAGCTTCAAGACTCGCCGCCACTGACAAAAAAGCAGTAAGTCAAAGCAACCACATCACAAGTTGGTGACAGAATTATGTAGTTCATAAATATTGCCATGACAAGTTGACTTGCTGTGTGTGATATGCGGCAGAACATTCCAGCTTGTTTTCTTTCTTTTGGCTCTGACAGCTGCCCCGTATATAGAGTCTCTTCTTGCAGCCAAAGATTTCCCGTACCCATGGCCACAGCCTTGAGTTGTTAGTTTCACGTGAACGCCAAGCGTTGTGCCATTGTAGCATTCTTTCTGATCACTCTTATATGGTCTCAAGTTTTGGACTTTACTATATTGCCAATGCTATTTCTATTTTTGGGTGGGTGGGTGGGTGGGTGGGTGGGCCGCGAAGACCACCAGTAGAGGAGCAAGCTGATACATACAGCAAGCTAGTTGTACTAAAAGAGCTCCTACCTACATGCTGGAAGCAGAACCCTTCGCATGATTGATTTGGTTCCTAGATTTTAGAGAGCCGCACACTTTTGATCCTGAACCACTGGTCTTCTGTTGCTTGTGACTTGACTTCTGCCAACCATGACATTGAATCGCTTGTTTTTCACCGCTGCAGCCCTGAGGCCGGAACAGGAGCTGGCTATGACCTGTCGGTCACAACGTTTTCACCCGATGGGCGAGTCTTCCAGGTCTGTCACCGTCACTTCGCCCTTTTTTGGCCTCGTGTGTTTGGACAGGTCGAATATGCTGGAAAAGCAGTGGAGAACAGCGGCACAACCTTGGCTATTTGCTGCAAGGACAAGCGAAGAGTAACATCCAAACAGCATGAAGAGCATACCTCTGTTTTGCACAAGAAGAGAATCGGAGGACGGAGTAGTCTTTGCGGCTGAGAAGTTCTTGTCGATCGCTTAGAGCCGCTGAGAATCTTTCGCTTCCTTAGCTGCATCACCGATATCAGTCTTTTCATTCAAACAGTATCATCATTATATAGTTAGTTGTATATATGTCATACAGACAGATGCAGATGGGAAGGCTATCAAAAATGCTGGTTCCGGGCACTGCCAAGCGAATATTTCCCGTCTTGCCCTGAGAAGCTGAAGCCGAATTGCTGACAGAACCAGGTCTTCAACTTGCTTCTTCCACCTTGTGCGAAACAGAACAACTGTGCAAAACAGTAAGGTTCATAGACGTGCCGGCATGTCCATAGCCGGAATGGTGGCGGATGCGAGGCAGATCGTCAGTGAGAACCCTTAGAGACTTCACATTGTGGGTGACATTTGTTAACTGCAATTGAGATGCAGAAGACCTTGGCTGTGACCTCGACGTGAGATCAGCAAATCTAAAAATCTAGAAGGAACGCTGAATTGGTCAGGGTTGAACATACTTTGGCGAGGGGTTGGTTGCAAAGGTCTGGGCGGAGGCAGACAGACATGCCAAAACATGCTGGAATTAGAAGTAGCTGAGGCCGAGCCCGTTCAGAAGCCACGAGGGGCTCTCAGTGGGCAATCATTTTACGTAGGCGCATTTCCTTCAATCGTTTTTCGAGTTCAAGAAGGATTAGATTCAGGCATGGTTTCGTTATGCTGCTTGTGATCTAAGGCAATATTTCAACGCGTGCTCCGGCTTTGAATTGCTGTGGAGATTGTATTTGGCTGCCACCGCGGGACTGTTCTCCTGGCAGGTATTGTGAGGAAATGCCATCAGAGCTTCTTGCTGAACGCTTTACACCTAGTGCCGCAAGAGCACAGCTTCAGTCAGCATTCTAGCTTGTTTGAGGTTTGGGCCTCTTCATGCATGCTTACACCTTGTGCCCAAGTGCATGAAGGTTCATGTGCTGCACCTTTGGCTTCTGAAGTTTTTGAGTCGAACAATTCTCCGCAGGTACTGGTCTGTGCGCCCGTTCGGCTGCACTGCGCTGCTGGGATGTGTAGATCAGGAGAACAGCTAGAACTAGAACGCTTTTGCCTGATGTTCCCAATTGACTCCTAACCATCCACCCATGGCTACAACACATTTCCACAGTTCCACCATTCGCTGCTTTGTCAGAGACTTGGGATGGTTGATGTTATTGCACTATGAATATCACTCAGCCTGCTTTTTCATGCTATCCAATACACTGCATAGAAGCAGCTCGCTGCTCAATTCCACTGGTTTGTTCCCTCTGTTCCTCAAAAAAGAACAGGCTCTTGTGTTTGTCATTTGTGACAAAAACGATGGGACGAACTGGGCTAGAGAAACTTGCAGGAGACCAAGAAGCCCAGCCTTTTCTGCATTGAGCCCAACGGCATGGTTTACAAGTGCCCGGATTGTGAGCAGGGCTGCAACCAACGAAAAGTGCTGGAAGGTAATCAATTCAAATGAATGCAGATGGCTGTTTCTGCTGATTTTGGAAGGTACCAAGCCACAGCAGAGGGCAAGGGCATTCCCAGCAAGCATTCAGGGTTTTCCATCACTGCTGGGGTAGAAAGAACGCCATCTGGAGATTTCGGACTCTCTTGAATTCACCACTCTTGAAAGATGCTGTGTTGCTGTGCATCTTAAGCCCCCATAGCATCCCAATTTTGTTGCGAAGTGCCATGGCCAGGCAAACAAGCAGCCAAGACTGAGATTGAGAAGGTCCTGGCGTGCTGCTTGCATGTTTGAGAGATAACAGATTTGATAAAATATAGGATGGGTCCGTCCAACAGCGTGATTCTTTCCTGCTCGGCCTTGATCGATTGACAGGAACAACCCGGAGCTCACGTGCGAGCAGGCGTTGATGCTTGCATGAGGCTTAAATCAGGTGGAAGAAAGAATGCTGACTGCAACATGTCGCTTGGACTGTAATATGATATTGCAAACTCCCGGAATTGATTGAGGTTGCCAAGATCATTCACAAGGCTGGAGATGCGGCACGTGTATCAAATCTGCAGAGAAGATGGGGATCCTGCAGAGCAGCAGGGTTTGTCGCTGAGGTTCATGACGAAAAAGACAAAGACTTTGAGCTTGAGATCTCCTGGATTTGTCCTGCATCCAACTATGAGGCTGTTTGTGTCAATTCCGTTTGGCAGGCTTCAACGATTGTTAAGCATAATCCACGCCTTGGATGGCTGAAAAGGTTTTATGTCAATACTCCTCCTCCCAATTCTGTCTCCATTCGCATGGACAATAACAACGCGGCTTTTGGCCACTACGATCTAAGATGTTTGGAGCAATGCTTTTTGCAAGTGGTTGTGATCAGGGCTGTCGTGGTTTTCACGTGCTCGCGTCTGCCAGCATGCCCAAGTGCCGGCGGAGCAGAGGAAGGCTGCTGAGGCCGAAGCTAAACGGATCCTGGAGGCAGAGCAAGAGGCCGGAGTTGAGAGCGACGGCGACGGCCTCCAACTTAATAGGAATGGCCTCCAACCTACTAGCGATGGCCTCCAACCTAATTGCGATGGCAGTGATAAAAGCAGATGGTGTTTTGTCTGGACACTGCAGCTTGAGGTGTCTTCCACAAGAAGCATCATGGTTTCATTGCAAAGTATGCAGCGTCAATAGAACGATCGGCGGAATGAACCATGTGTTGCAGGACGACTGAGCTGCAATGTGAAGACCAGAGAGGAGAAAGTTTCCTTTTGTGCTTACCATAGAACTGGCCCCGGGAATACAGAAACAGATAATCGATCATATATATAGATACAGAGTGTGTGGTTTTGCTAACAGCTACTCTCACAACTGCGTCCAGCTAGCTGTAGTGCAAAGAAAGGAACAGGCAACCAAAGAGAAGTGGACGCTGCAGGTGTCAAAAAAGAGCCTGTGACGCAATCAATCAGACAAAGCAAGTGCAGCGGTAGGATCTCATCATGTAAGCAACAAGAATGCAATCAAGCTTGAGTGGAAGACTTTGTAGACGACCCAAGCTTGATGGCATCAAACACCAACTGATTGCAAAACACTGCTGTTAGTCTTGGGCCTTGAGAAAGCACTTTGAATTTTCAAGGGCTTCACACCGCAGCTTCCGATTCTTTATTGGATTCAAAGCTATTGCGGTACGGGTGCGTTGCTGAATACCAGCAGGTGGATGTGGGCAAACGGGATTTCGACATCCACTGAGTCGCCGAGTTGAGCCTCAAAAGGTGCTTCTACCGCCATTTGGCCGGCAACTACCGGGCAACGACGCCTGAAATCCAGGAACCCTCGTCCCTTTCCCGTTGCCCGCATTTATCCCGCCTCAAAAGCAGCTTTTTATGTACAGATTTGTTGCAACAGATGCACTGCTTGAGCTTGCACAGGTTCCTGGCCAGCGATGGCCATGAAGGCGCGTGTGACAAGCCTTGCCATGATGACAGAAATATGTCCTTGCCCTCGCTCAGAAAACAGGCTGCAAAGCCAGCCTTTTCAGCCCTATTTACCCGCATCTTGAGACCGTGTGGCTCAAAGCAGTATTGTGGTGGACCTGGGCGGACCTGGGCTCGGGGATTTGTATGACCTAGTGCGGAACATGCTTGGAGGTCGCGGGTTGACTTGGCCCGTGGAGCCGTCTCATCGAGTGGGCTCTTTTTGCTTGGGCATGGGAGTCAATGAAGCGCTGTCCATCGTACAGAAAATGGGCAGCCTGGATCGTGCAGAATTCAGCTTTGATGACCAGAGGCCCTTTGATGTGGACCTAACCTTGAGGCTGCCGTCTTGGGGGCTGCAACTTTGCTTTGATTCCTATCAGCAGGATTTGCGCCTGATTTCTGTGCGCTTGCAAGAAGATGAAGTGGAGCAACTTGAGGCAAGGGCACTTGCGCCAGAGTTGATCTACAGTGGTCAGAAGTTCAACTCCTTGGGCCTCCGAGACATTTATCAGATCTTTGGCCCAACATGGATCGGCGACTTTCGTGTCGGCGACTCTCCTGCATACGTGTTGAGATATCCTGGCCTTGCTTTTGAATTTCCCTTGCCGGAGGACATGGTTGACGCATTGGCTGCCAAAGAGGAGCATCCTATGGACATAGCAGGCAGTCCGTCTTTGCTTTGGGTTTTCGCTGCACAGGCATCCGTACAAAGCCCTTCTTCGGTTGTGCCGGAGTTACTGGAGGCTGTCGGTGTGCTGCCTGGTGTAGGTGTGCAACTGCAGGGCCGGAAGCTGCGCTTTGGTGCCATGCCACAAGACGTGGTTTCAGACTTTGGACCACCTCAACAGGTATGCATCAAGGATGTTGATGCATTTCGCATTCATTCCACGCGCACTCCGGCCAAAAGTCCTGATGTGGACTACTACTACAATTACTTTTACCTCGGCTTGGATGCTTTGTTTGATGGGGAGACCCACTCGTTGCAGAAAATTGTGTTGCATGTGAACCCCCCAACGCACGAGCGATTCAGCCGCTACACACGTTGCTTTTTCGAACTGCTCCTTGACAAAAAGGGTGAAGCTGAAGGCGCTTCGGCTGGTGATGTGTTGCTTGGTGAGGTGTGTGAAGAAAGTGAACCTGATGATCTCGAAAGTCATCCTGACACCATAGAAAAAGAAACCGTGGACTCTACAGAGAGGCCCGATGCTGTGCGCATTGATGTGCGGTGGCAATGGGCAGACATAGAAGAGGCATTATGCCGCGTGGGTGGTTTGGCAAAGAGCAAGCCGCTTGTGATGGACCAAGAAGGCTACACTTCCTTTGGCAGCACGTACTTCTATGGCTTTCCTGGCCTTGTTTTCGAGGTGATGCAAAATGGATATTTGGCATCTCTGACAGTCTTTCGGGTTCATAGTTCCAAATTGCCTTCGATCTTCCAAAGGAGGTAGTTGGATAGATCGAGGAGTGACGCATTTGTACATAGCTTGTAGACTTATTAACTTGATGAGTCTTCGAGGGATTCCTTTTTATGTGCTTGCTGTAGCAAATGTGATGCTGGTAGTGCAGTATGCTGATGGTGGCATAATCGGAATGTTGAACATTCATATTGTTCAGGCCAGCCTTACATATCATTTTGCACCTAACTTCGAGCGACTTGCTGGATGTTAGGTTCTACAGGCCTTCCTGTATCTTTGTATCTTCGACCAGAGTTCAGGCAGGAATTTGAGCAGCATCATTTGGACCATTAACTGAAACCGCTGAAACTTCTTCAAGTTTTAGCCACTAAAGCATGCTGAGTGAGAGAGTCTTATGCAGCCCTTTGTTTGCTTACCGATGAAAGGACAACCCATTCAAGTGACTTGGCAGCAGAGCGAGTCCAACAGGTGTTTGGTAGTCTTGTTGATCGGATGAACCTCAGGTCTTTGAACGTTTATGAAAGTGTTGGCATGTGAGGTGGGAACCTATGTGACTCAAGATGATCTTGACATGGCATCTCAAGCTGCAGCGAAAGCTGAGCAGGCAAGAACATGCTTCACTTGGGGGTTTTATCCGATATCTCTTGGGTTCAATCAACTCCCATTTGATGCTGCAATCTATATGCTGCCAACAAACTTTCTTTTGCATACTACAGCTGCAGTTGGTATGAAGCTTCAAAATCAATGTCAAACGCTTTATATATACTGATTGAAACAATGGAAAACCAAGGGGTTGTTTCCCCTTTGATGGTTATTCCAGGGAGTGTAGCCGTACCATTCTCGCTCATGTGAGCTAGGCTCAAAATTAGTGAGCATGACAAATGGTCAGTGAGTGGTCAAAATGTATGTTTCGCTGAAAAAACGATAACACGCTCACCACAAACAAACACATGACATGAAAAACGATCACACTCACCAAATCCTGATGACCTACAACTCATGTCAAAGACCAAGGAACATTGAAAGCAAGAACCCACTAAGCAGCATTTTTTGTTGGGGCACCAGAATTGTGTTGAGTACAATCGAAGAGAAGGAGAGAAAGCCTGAAAGAAGAAGAGCACAGACTTTATGGCAAGCACCGGGAATGCCCCTTTTGGCTTCAGCGGACTCAGCGTTGTGCGGAACAACAAAAAATTCTGATTTTTCTTTTGCATTTTGCGGCCAGGCTTGTGCAATCGCTTCATCAATGACAATCGAGGACCACGGGATCTGGTTGTGAGCTAAATCCGAAAGCATTCTTTCTTGCCTTACTTTTTTTTCTTTTTTCCTTTGTTTAGAAGTTCCCGTTTTTTCTAGTAGCAAGAGGGCTTTGCCTAATGCCTTTAAGGATCACACCCCTGGACGGATATGCGTTGCAACCTGAGGACCGTGCAACTGCCCGAGCTCAGCTAGAGGATGCCTCCGCGAACAACATCCTTCTTGAAATCATGCAGGACCGGGGAGCTTGAGACACTGCCAACATCAAAAGAAACTCCAATGCTCTGACGGGCTTGAAGAAGTTCAGATAAGACGCACTCTGTGTTCGGGTGAGCTGACCCAAGCTGACCGACAGGCAGCTCGAAATCAAAATGAGCTGCAGACGTTGGCCGCAGAGAAGCTCCCGGGAGCAATGATCGGGGCAGCTGCACCCCTTGTCCTTTGGTTTTAAACCCATGAGAGTGAAAGGTGGACACTTGCATCGTTTCACTTGATTTGAGCTGACGAATTCATCCAACCTTGCGACACGCAGATCATGTTCTTTATTATCCTGATCATCTATGCTCTGATTTGCTGCTGGACGGCTTGCCCTTTCTGCAAATGCTGTCGTTGCTGCCAGAGGCAAAGCCAATGGCAAATGGCAAAGCCAATGAAACCGTTTCAGACAGATCAGACAGTTCAGATTGATCAAAGGAACCAACATGCATTCAAAACGTCCTAGTGTCACATGCGCAGGCAGAGAAACATTCCCTTCTTGGTGAAACTGATTGCCTTGGTGCTGACTCTTGGTGAAAAACTGGCTGACATCCAAGTTCCGCAATTCTCCATTGCGCATTGATCCCGTTGGTTTTGCAATGCCTTTTGGGATTGGCTCTATTGTGTTTTTTGACACGGCTGGATCAGGATCGGCAGCTTTGTTTTGGCGCTGGTGATCGTCAGCAGCCTTTCCACTCGCGGCTATGCTAGCGCACAAGAAGGCTTTGATGTCACCAACTGCGCTGCGGCTACCTTGGCGACCTGTCAAGCTGTTCCAACAGGTTGCCATTTTTGTGACACGAGTGTGTACATGAGACACATGTCTTTCCTAACGTCCTTTGAACAACAACCTTGCAGTGCTTGTTTTGCCGAGGTGAATTCTACCTTCACAGGGCAAAGCGACCCCTATTTCTTGGGTTTGATCCCAGTGCTCAGCATTTTTGATGAGCTAGAAGGCGGGGAACAAACCTTTGCTTGATGCGTTCAAGATTGCAGGGCGAGGCCTTTTTGCGAGCCCCGACATTTCGGGCCAGGCAGCTTGTCGAGCGGTTCAAGCTTCATCAATGATCTCCGCGCTATACTTCTGGACACAAGCGTGCCTTGCAGCAATGTGATTGTTGCATAGACACTGTGCGTGATGGTAGGGATAGCATACAGGTCTTCAACTTCCACAGACTACTTTGAGGTCTCTAGATGTTGTAGCAGAAACGCACGTTGGGCTGTTGTCAACGAGTGTTTGGTGTACATAAGCATCTTTGCAAAACACGCCGGCGCTCGGGACGGCACACACTGAACAACAGAGACCACAAAACGGAACTGGCCAAATTGCCGCGGAAAAGACCCGACCGCGCAAAAAACTTTTCACAGACAGCTGCAACGCACTCAACTTTCCGTAGCAATGCATCTGATTTTGGCACTACCCTGAATTTATAACGTGCGTCAGTCAAATTGTGAGCAATTACGGCGCGCAATTTGACACAGTTTCGAAATGAACCAGCATGGAAGCAAACCCACAGTAGATTGCGCAGGCAAGCGTCCTTTCTTGCTTCACCAGTTGTGAGCCAGTCTTCGTTTATCCAGGGGCAACTGAAACTGCCTGGAAACGACTTGGTGTTTAGAGTTGATAGCCATTTTGATACTTTTCCCATGACGTTTCCATTCTTCATAGTGACGAGTGATGAGCCAGTCAGTCGAAATTGACCATAGGACCATAGGCATATGTCGAACCATCAATGCGAAGGGGCCTTAGCCTCCATGGTCACAGTGCAGTACAGTCATGTCTAGCATGTGTAGCCTGTCCTTCGCTTTTCTTTTAATGGCAAGTGCTTTATGCCAGCACTTGCACTGCTTTGCAGAGTGCGGAAGGCGTCAACTTATATAACGTGCAATAAAGGTTGAACTCCCAAGAAACAGAGCAAAGAACAAAGAAAGCGTTGGGAAACATAGGAGCGCGTGGGTTTAGGCTTTGTTCAATCACACTTGTTGGACCTTTGTGACTTTCGAGCCGAGGCTTTAATGTCCTTGTAGTTCATTCAGCCCCATCACAACAAAATAGTTCAGTTTTCTACCCCGGAACTTATGTTGGCATAGTGACAAAGAGGAAAGCATTTTCCGCTTTCCACCAGCACATCTTAGAGACGCAGATACGGTCGTATACAACCCTTTCCCAAGAACTGACGACTCGAGCTGGAACGAGACAGTATGCAAACTGCAGCTTGAGCAAAGCTGGAGAAACCAGACCACTAGAACGATGTGGCCAACATTCTTTTCTCTCCCTTCTGAGAGACTGATAACATGCCAACTATAGTTTGTTGGGGATAGGTGCCCTTTTCGCTATTCTGTTGAGGTGTGATTTGAACTATTTTGTATGCATTCCACCAGGGTGAGTGGACAAGATTGTCGGTCTCCAAAGTAGCTGATTGAAGAATGGTAAAACCCTGGAAAAGCAAGAGGCTTGGAGCTAATGTTGAAAAGAAACAATTTAAAGAATATGCATACTTCTGTAGCTCTTGGACAAGAACGTATGCATGCATCGTTTAGATAGATTATAAATATGAATCATATAGTCTATAAGAACCTGTGAGTTCTTGCAACGCCTTGCACGACTGGGTTCTGGCTCATTGAGACCTGACTCTACGTGCACGGCGCAGGCGGCCGTGCAACAAAACAAAGAAGAACAGGGTGCCAGGTTTGTCAGGTTTTTAAAGAGAGTGAATCTACATTATAGCGAGGAGAACCATGAGTCAAGTGAGTCAAACAATAAGGTCATCACAGACTCCGTAGCTGTTGCAACAGCCCCTTGGCAGATCTATTTGGGAAAAGTCAACCTGTGAGAACTTGCTTTGTGAGAACTTGCTCACGAGGAGAATGTGAACTTGCTGGCAAGCATGCTATCGGACACACGAAACACTGCACCGGCTGGAACATTGCACGAGTGCCAGGGCCGTCAGTGATGTTTGGTTTGTCCGCACAGCAGCTTTTCTTTGGAAGCAACAGGTTCTTGTGGTTACCGGATGGTGACCGCGTTGGATTTCGTCTAAGGTCTTGCATGTACTCCATTGGCCACCTCACTCTCCCAGGCACGGGTGCCGTTCTGTACGGGTCCTACGAATTTGGTGAATCGGCTGGTGCCCGGCGAGGTCAGTAACGCGCTCTCGTCTGGCACAGCCGCTGCTTTGAGTGCGGCACGTGTGGAAGTGGACAATCAATTGTCTGGCAGTGTCTTAGATTGCAACCTAGTAGCGTCCTTGCTCCCAGAAGCGATGCCCTTTGCTCCTAGTAGTGCTCTTACTCCTAGTAGTAAGGCCAGGAGCCCCTAGTAGCGTCCTTGCTCCCAGTAACTGGAAGTCCAAATTGACTAGAATTGGCGATTTCAAAGTGTGAAGTCCAGGTTCATTAACAACGCTCCGCGCTTCTCTCACTGGTGTCTCACAGCTGCAAATTCGTCAAGGTCTTTTAACCTTTGGAGGTGCTCCTTTATCATAGCCACTCTCTCTAAGGCCACAGCTCCTTTGGTTGAACTAAAGACAACGATCAAGTCTGCCTTCGCCCCATTTGTGTCTGATACTTTGATGGAGCAAATCTCTGAGCAGCTGAATGCCAATGGGAGCCCTGGC